TGGTTAATTCTCTACTCATTCTGACATCTCCAACAGGGAAGCTGTGGGACTGATCTGTTACACGCATTATCATGCTTTGCATCATGAAGAATTTGTGTTCTCTACACTGCTACCTTTACTCTTTAAGCATTAGAGAGCAGACAATGTAAGAGCTATTGCTAACTTATTTATGCCAGATTTTACTTAGTCCACTCCCAATGGAGGAGAAGTCAGGAGTCTCTATTCCAGTTCTTGGTATGGCTAATGTGCAAAATTCTAGAATCTTTCACAAATATGCCCTTTTAAAATGTTATCAACAATTATGTTTTTCATAACTGGTTTAACGTTTCCCCATAGAAGAGTTCATGGAAGTTTATATTCTTTCCATTAAAAAAAAAGTCATTTCACTTAAGGTATAATTCAGTGTGCTTACCATAATCAGTAACATAAAACTCATACATGGTTTGATTCGTGCCTTTAGGTATATCTGGTAAGTCTAACTTGCTTTCATGTTGTCGTAAGAAGGCTTCAAGCCTTTCTCTGTTTTCCAGTTCCAGAAGGGCTCCTAAACTCCACATTAGGCCAAATACAAATAATTTATGAAGATGTTCAACACATGAAATACCACCTTCTTCTTTGGAGGGAATTAAACCTTCCAGAAGATTGAGAGACTGAAAAAAATTTAAATAAAATAAATTTTTTAATTAAAAAGTTTTTACTAATAATAAAATTAAAAGGAAGCAGGAAAGAGAGAAGAAAACAAATATATCTCAAGATATTGCTTGATCACTGTCCTAATGCCAACAGCACTTAGAAGGAAGGCCATCCTGCTTTAGACAGGCTGCATAGTCTAGCAGAAAGGATGCTGAACTGGGAATCTAGAAGTGTGGTTCTACCACTAGTTCATGCCACTAACCTTTTTGAGTCTCAGTTTCCTAATATGAAAAGCTAAAGGCCTAGGCCAGATGTTTTCTAAGGTAGCTTCTGATTTTAAAGTTTGGTTATCCAAATTTTCCAGATCAAAGATATTATTTCTTTTTAACATTTTGCAAAACTTAGCAAACTGCAGCCCCAGGGGCTAGCCACCTGTTTGGTAAACAAAGTTTTAGTGGAACACAGTCATACTCATTCATTTCTTCATTGTCTCTAGCTGCTTTTGTGCTACAACAGCAAAGCTGAGTGGCTTATTGTGCAAAAGCCTAAAATATTTGCTATCTGGCCCTTTAAGAAAATACAGCATCAGAAAGACATATATACTACAATAAGACATCCTCAAAACAAAATTATCTCAAGATACAATTTTCTCTTATATTATGTATTTAAAGGTAATACTAATAATTCATTGCTTTGGGCCTTACATATTATTTCTAACCTATCCACCCTCACCGACTTGCCCCCACACTGGGAATCAAAGCACTAGAATGGATAATGAGAGAGCACCTAGAAATTACAATTAGGAGACTCCTTAAAAATCTATTACTAGTTCTGTTTTTTCCAAAACTAGTAAGGAAAACTGAGTATGGAAAAAAAATACTACAAATTACTTTTCAGGGGATTTTTGTTTAAAGGTTTTCCTTGTCTGATATGTTTTAAATTTGCAAAGCCAAGATTGCCAGCCAATTTTTCCTGATTGTCACAAGCTTCTTTTTGTACGTTTCTGTAAAACTGCTATTATTTTGTCTTTCTGAGACAGGTTACTAAACTTGACAGTAAGANTGCAGTATAGCATGAGTTATTCTGTCTGACATAGTACACAAAACATTTAGCCCAGCTCCTTACACATAATAAGTGCTCTATAAATAGTAGCTATTTTCATTGACATATTACTTTTATCTTCTGTCTGAGCTATTTTTACTACTCAAAAAAAAAATCACACAAGAGAGTATCTCATGACTCTTGGATAATCAGTCATTTACCCACTAATATACACTTTCTTTTATTTAAGTCCATAATAATTAAACTAATCAAATTGCATTGAAAGCCTATATTCTCACCATTGTTAAGAAGATTCCAAATTCTGGATTTAAATCAACACAATCACCATCAGAAAAAATAAACTGCTTCTTTCTTTCTTTTCTTGCTGTCAAAACAATATAAATTTGTTGGGCCGCCACTGATAGCACAGGCAATTCAATTCTGTTAAACTCATCAAAACAGCCCCAGGAACCTGATTGTGCAAGACCTGGCATGAAAAACAGTTCATTTGTAAAGTTTTACTCCTTCTTGATAGCAATCACNCACATGGTGCTGTAGACTGGATGCCCCCCAACCTCACTGAAGCTTAATTCTCACTGTAACTTTTGAGGGTGGGAAATCCTATTATGGTAATTGAAAGCTGGGGCCTTGAAGTGATTAGATTGTAGTGAATGGATTAATAATGGTGGTCATGGGCGTGGTCCTGAGTCCTTTAAAAGGACAGTACATGGGGAACCGACTCTCTCTGCTCTCTCTGCTTCCACCATCTCGCAACATGAGACCCCTGGGTCACTGTCACCATCACCAGATGAACTTTGGACTTCCCAGGCTCAGAAAGTGAAAGCAATTAATTTTGTTGTCTTCACAGATCACCCAGTTTCAAGTATTTTGTTAGAAGCAACAGAAACAGACTAATACACATAGAAACTGATTTTGTTATAATTCTTTGGTGTAGGACCTTGTTAAATTACTTTGGAAATTCTAAGTCATTTCCTTATATTAAATGTCAGAGAAAAATCACATATACAGGTTAAGCAGTCAGGTTTTGATGTTAGAGAGACAATAACCTCTTTTTCATACTGCTGGGTGACTTGAGCAAGTTTTAAGTCTCCCGGAGCTTCAGATATCTCAGCTACAAAATACCCACCTCAGAGGGCAATCATAGCTATAAAATGAGATGATGTACATGTGATAGTCATAAGTGTTATTGACCAAATGTTTCAGGTTCTTCCTCCTTCCAGTTACATGATGGGACTGTACTTCATTGCCTCCTTAAAGAATAGGTATGGCCATGTAACATGCTTTAGTGAATGACTTGTGACTTGTCGCACTTCTGGACAGAAACTCCAAGAGCCAGAGCACAAAGTTTCATGTTCTCGTTTTCCTTTGCTACAGCAACCAGCAATGATTGAGAGCGTAGCTACCTTGTCAGCCTGAGTACCAGAATAAGGACATATAAAGCAGACTCTACCCTCCC